ACAGCAGAGCTGTTCCTTTGACCTGAAGAACTGACACCCTCACACACCATGCCACCAACCAGCCTGGCCTCCTCAGTCTCTCTGCCTGAGTACTGGCGGATGATCGCTTGAACCCATCAGTTTGCTACCAGCCTGGACAATAAAACAGGACTCCATCAGAAACTAATCAACCTATAGCTGGAAATAAGGGTGGGTATGATGCCATGCCTATAATCCCAGAGGTCAGGAGAGGTAGAGAAAAGAGGCTTGAGGCCTAGGCTACATCAAGGTATCCTTATTAAAAAAAAAAATTGTAATTTTGAGGCAGTGTTTCACTATGTTGCCCAGGCTGGCTTTGCGATGAGGTTGTGCAGCTGTTTTCATTGGGAGGTGGGGCCATCTCTCCATGTGGTAAACCTGAACTGAATGGAGGTTCACTTCCTCTGGCCTGGAGGAGCACTGTAAAAATGCTAATTCTGAAGCCAAGCTTGGAGAGACCCTAAATGCTCTGCCTCTTCTCTCTTGGAGCCCTACATTACTATGCTAGAAACTCCAGACTCCCATCAAGGAAGGAAGGGGACAAACGAGGGGTCCAGCTATGACAGAAAGTTGTTTTTTGTTTGTTCTTCCTCTTCTTTACTTTTCTGGTGTTGGATACAAAGCTCAAGAGTTTGTGCATGCTAAGCGAGCCCTCTAGCACTGACTACACCCAAGGCCTTTATTGGAGAGAAGGCCGTGTCATTTGCTGCAGATACGGACAATGAAGCAAGACCCACAAAACTCAACAAAACCCACGTGGAGTTTACTGGGGAAAGGGGTGAAGGGAGGGGTGGGTGTTGGCCAACCCATAACAGAGATGGAAGGGGAAGGGGGAGGGGCAAACAGTGGGAGGCACTTTTAAGAAAGGGAAAGCTTGCACATGCGTACATAGTCCTTACGCCACCATGCAACTCATGGCGTCGACACACAACGCAGGGCCCTTTGAACTAAGTATCTGCCTGAATGCTGGGATGCATACCCTGACATTCGTCAGGGGTCGGGGTCAGCACAAAGCCAGGATACCAACAGAAGGTATTGTTATGCAGCTCAGTGTGGCCTGAAACTCACAAATCTGGAGCAGTCACCTAAATTCTGAGATTATAGGTGTGTGTTGTCACCCTGCCCAATTTAAAGCCAGTGATTTTAAATGGTGTGATAGCTAGAAAGAGATGTTACTTGACAGTTGACATGAATGTAGTGATTTGAATGAGATGTCCAGCACATCTCAGGCACTTGAATGCTCAATCCCCAATGGTGTATTTCGGGAGGCTTAGCTGTGGCCTTGTTGGAGGAGGTACGTCACAGGAGGTGGGCTTTGAGAGTCTAAAAGCCATTTTGTGTGTGCTCTCTTGGCTTCCTGTGTGTGGTTCCAGATGTTAACTCTGCTTTTGCTCCTGCCTCTGTGTCTGGTGCCTGCTGTCATGTTTACCTGCCATGATGGACTCATATCCCTCTGCAACTGTAAGCCAAATAAACCCTCCCTTTTTTTTAATATTTTATTTTATTATGTATACAAGCTTCTGTATGCCAGCAGAGGGCACCAGATCTCATTCAAGGTGGTTGTGAGCCACCATGTGGTTGCTGGGAATTGAACTCAGGACCTCTGGAAGAACAGTCAGTGCTCTTAACCGCTGAGCCATCTCTCCAGCCCCCAAAAACCCTTCCTTTCTTAAGCTGCCTTGGTCTTGATTTTTTTTAGTTACAACAATAAAACAATGCACTAAACAAACATGGTGACTTTCCAAGACTACTGTGTGTCAGAGTAGAAAATGTTCTTGGCTGAGCTTCGTGGTGTGCTAGGAGCATGACTCCAAGGCATCATACTGATGACCTTTTAAATGCAAAGTATTATTCCCATTTCATAGGTGAGGAAACTGGAGCATGATAGGGAAACTCTGAGCCTCAAAGGCAAGCACCAGACCCATGTTTGTCCAAAGCCACATCCCTTTCTATATGGGGCTGGGGATTGGCTCAGTACATAAAACCCTGCTGTACAAATTTAGGAATGAAGTCTGGACTCCCAACACCTACATAAATGCAATCTGTAATGGCAGCCTCCTCCTCCACGTCCTCCTTCTTACACGTCCCAGTGTAAGACTGAGACAGAGGATTTCCACAGCAAGATAGCTAGCAAGTCTAGCCCAGTGTGTGAGCTCTGGGTCCACTTGAAACCCTACTCTACCACAGAAGATGGAGGGCAGTGGAGGATACCCGACATCAAATCTGGGCTTCCACAGTTTGTACACACTCATATATGAAGGACCCAGACCTTCACCCAGTCACCTGCATTGGCAGTCATGACAGACTACAGAAAAGACCCAGCAAGATGTAGGCCCCTGACTCAGTCACATGTGCTGAGTCCCCAACTTTACCTGACCTTGCCCTAATCACTAGGAAGCAATCTCCTGATGCCCTCTATGTGGTAGGGAACCAATCAGAAGTTAGCTGGCAGGCTTTGGATGTGCTTTACTGATAACAGTGGAATGCAGTAGGTAGCAATGCCTAGGCCCTGGGATGGCCTCCAAGCATAGTAACCTTTCTGCAGCTGCAGCTGACCAGCTTAGGGGTGTGCTATGTTCCTAATCTGGGTTGCAAAAGACCTAGTGAACTGTTTGGGAAGGTAGAAGAACAAGAGATTTTTTTTAATGAGAGGACAAACAACATTGAGGACCAAGAATGCATGTGACTCACCGGCTCTTTTTATCCTTCCTCTTTTTTTTTTTTTTGTCTTCTTTTCCTCCTTTCTCTCTCTTCTTCTCTTAGCTGCCCCCACCCACTGATGATAAAACTTAATTAGAACACAACCAGCCATTCTAGGCCATGGAGATAATGGAAGTCCCTTGAGATGTGTAGTGCTATAAGAAGTGACCGTTTGTCCTCCCTTTCCTGGTAGTGTCAACCTGTTACCTCTCCCACTGAGGTGATAGTGGCAGATTATTTTGTCAAATTAGATGGACTAAAGCACCCAACGATTTAATCAGTTGCATCAATATGTGGCTGTCAAGTGCTTTGTGGCCCTCTGTGGGAGAGGCCATGCCTGGAATGTAAGAGGCCCTGGATTCTCTTCCGGGTACTACAAAAAGAGATGATGGCCTTGGTTACTGTGAACAAAAGGCCATAAGAGCCAAAACCGACTCTCTCAGCAAAGACTAAATTCTGCTCTGTGCCTGCAGACTCAGTGTCTGTCTGAGTTTGTGCTTGCAGCCAGAGGCTCTACAGATTTTGGACTTTGTCTGTCAAAAAACCACATGCACCAAGTCCTTAAAATAAACCTGCTAAGATAGAAAGAAGCTAGGCATAGCACATGTGTGTGATACCCCCATCTGCGAGGCTGAGGCATAAGGAGAATAAATTTAAAGTGAACCTGGGCTATAGATCTCAAGATAAATGTGATACAGATCTTCAGATAGATAGAATGTATTTTAGTCAGAAATCGGTTGCTTACACAAAACGCACAGGATAAACTGTTTATAAGGAGGAGGACTTCAGTTGGCTCATGGTTTTAGGTCACAGTCGGCTGGTCCCATCGGTTTTGGTCTGTGGTAATGGAGTGGATCTTGGCGGGAAGCCCAAAGAGAGAGCCAAGCTGCTCAGCTCATGGTAGCTGGGAGGCAGATGCTCGGGTCCTTAGGAAAGGACTAGAGTTCCAGTACTGGCTTCGAGGGCACACCCCACCTCCCAAGTTTCCATCACCTCCAAACAGCACCATCATCTATGGACAATGCCTTCAATACATGACTTTGGGGGGGGGGCATTTAACATCCAACTCCAAACTAAAAATCAAATTATTTCATCACCAGCGATACCCTCCTACATATACACACAAATTAAAGTCACCACATAATCGAGATTCCTGCAGTACGGTCAGTGGATGAATAAATGGGCAAAAAAAGTGGTAATTATGTGAAGTATTCATCCACAAAGAATGCCATTTGCAGAAAAATGTTTGGGAACTGGGGGAAATCAACAGATAGTACATGTCTGCTCTCCTATGATGAGTCTAAATAGGAGACAACATGAAAGTAGGAGGAAGTTTATTAAGGAAGAGAAAGACGCCAGGAAGAGGGAATTTTAAAACGCCTATCAGAGTGAGCATGATCAGAGTTATTTCGTAGAGGGATTTTAAAAGAATCAGTGTAGGTCTGCTATATCGTGACTCTTTCTGGCTTACTCCGATTGAGGGGCAAAGGATTTAAGAGGGTGTTGTGACACTGTTTCTATGCGGAACAAACAGTAAGACCCCACTGAGCACAAGAGGCAGCGAAAGGGGCTGCAGTGCTGTTGGTGGTTAAGATAATGAGGACTGGAGTTCGATCCCAGCACTCAAGCTAGAGGCCCCCTGTACACGCCTGAAACCCTATCGATGAGGACGCCTCACGCAAGAGGATCGCTGAGGCTAGGGGCCTTCCAGTTTAGCCAAGGAAACCGAGGCGAAGTAAAGAATGAAAACAAACCCTGCCTCAAAGGAAAAGCAGGACACCTGACGCCCTCTTCTGGCCTCCGTGAACAACCGCTCGCGCGCGCGCACGTAGACCTCCATTAACAAAAGTAAAAATAAAAATTAATAAATCTTCCAGAAATCCTGTCTCGAAAAACCAAACCAAAACAAACAGAAGTCCCGGATGGGGCAGGGGCGGGGTGGGCAGCCTCCCTACGTAGCTCTGGCTGGCTTGGACCTCGCTGTGTAGACACAGCTAGGACTTACAGACTTCCCCCGCCTCCCGAATGCGGGCATCTAAAGGATGCTGTACCGCCGCAACCGGCCTGGGGCGAGCGCTTAAACGTGATAACCCTCCAGGGTGAACCGGTTTGCTCCAGAGAAGGAGCCTGAGCCAAGGCTGGATGGCTCGTCGCAGTTCGCACTCACAGATCCCTTCGGAGGGTGAATACCGCTGGACCCGCAAACTCAGTTCTTCAGGAGTTGGGCTCGGTGTTGCTCGCCAATCAGGGGCGCTGTTGCTCCCCCGAGCTAACCAACGAGGAGCACGGACAGTGGGAGGTGGCGCCCTTGCCGCCATATTCGAGTTCCGGGTGGCGGAAGGGAGGCGAGTTGCCTCCGTGCTTCCTGACTGCCGGCGCCTTAGTGCGGGGACACCTGGGTGCATCAGCCGCGGGAAATGGTGAGTGCGCCCCGGGCCCCCGGAGCTGGTGGCGGGGATGTGACCCTGCTGCGGCTCCGCTGCGATGCGGCGCCGGCTCGCCGGTGTCCCCAGGCGCTCTGCAGCCGTGTCTGCCGCTGGAGCCCTCATCCCCAGCGCTCTTGGACGGTGTGCAAAGCAGGCGGCCGGGAGTCGGTCCCGTCTTGTCCCTTTCCCGCGAAGCCCGGGTCCCCCGTGGAGAGTCTACGCCGCGAACCTGCGCCTCCGCAGGCGTTGCAGCCCCGGGGTGGCTGGTGACGCCGAGCGCAGAGCCTGCTGCGAAGGCGCATGGGTGGTGTGCGCTGCTTGGCACTAACCTTGTTCCCTGCCGTAGCCGTACGCTGTGAACACCCCGGAGAGTTGTTTCCTTTTTCCTTTAAACTTCGTCCTTTTCTTCTTTTTAAGTACCAGGGATCGAACCTCGGGTCTCAGGCTAGGCGAACGCTTTACCGTAGACTTGCACCGCCATCCCTCGTCCCTAACTTGGAGAAAGGAGAGATATTTAAATTTGCTTTAAGATTTATTTGTACTGATCAGTTAAGCTGACCATTTCTGAGGCAGAATGTGAGGTTTGGGAAGTCTTTCCAGCCTTGATAGCTCTGGGGAAAAAAAAGGCAGGGAGGGGAGGGATTATGTAATTCTTTTCTGTACAGAGTTTTTCTGTGTGGTGCTGGCTGGTCTGCAACTAGCTATGTCGACCAAGCTAGCTCTAGGCCATTTCTTCAAATGTAGTGTGAGTGGAGGGGTTTCTTTGATCCCGACGGAGGTGGAGACAGGCCTATCCCAGAGCGCGTGGCTAGCCAGGGCTACATAGTGAGACCCTGTTTAATATACCCAAAACGAACAAACAGCAAAAACCAAACAAAGCTCCACCAGGGTTGTAGTGTTGTTAAAATGTTTAGATTTATCCAGTAAGGAGACACAAACTGTGACTCAATGATCCTATGTGGAGTTTATTGGTAGACAGGGCGGGAAAGGGGGGTGAGAGGTAACCGGCCTGTACAGAGCTGAGAGAGATAAGATGAGATATGAGAGAGAGACATGAGAGTAAGAGAGGAGATGAGATGGAGAGTAAGACGAGGTAAGAGAGTAAAAGAGAGCATAAACGGGCAGGGCTCAGTCCTTTAAAGGGGTCCTTTTGCACCTGCATGGTTCTCACAGAACTCTGGGCTGGCCAGAGTGCTGCCTGAGTGCATCCTGCCAGGTAACAGGTCAGGCCAAAGTAATGCCTGAACCTTTCATTCTCATCTTTATTTATGATTAAAAAGAGGTGGGGGTGTTAGATGTGGCAGGTTCAGGATCAAGGACGTTGAGTTCTTAAGACTGCTTCCTGCTGACCTGGGGGTGTCGATCATCTTTGGGGGAACCTGAGAAAGTTGGGGTGTTGTCACGCTGGTTGTTCTATTGTAGTCCAGGCTGTATGGGACTCTCTGGGGCCTCTGTAGATCTGGCAAGATGTTAGCAGAGTAGAGAACAAAGTTAGGCTTAAATTTTTCTTTCTTAGGTCCTGGTATTTGAGGGGAAGATTGTAAGATGAGGGAGGGGTTCCCCAGGGGTCCCAAGATAATGGAGGGGAGTCCTAGGACCAGGGAGAGGTTGAATAATATCTGGAGTGAATCTGACCTGTTTGGATGGATCCAATTTGGCTTTCTGGAACTTACAAGAATCCTTTGAGTTTGTGAAAACATAAGTACAAGACATATCAGCAGCATATTTGTGTTAGAAATGACGTGGCTGAAAACATTAACATTTTAAAAACATTTTTAGCACAATGAAAAGCACCTTAATTTTGAGCTTGTAGTTATGATCATGTAGTGGTATAGTTGTCTAACACTCTGTTGGAATTAGATTAGTAGCTTATCAGAACTTTATTGATTAATGTTAAGACTACGAAAAGTAGTATAATGAAAGAAACCTGGAACATATTTTTTAATGTCTCAACTTAATTACATTACCATCTTATATAGATAAACCTTAAGAGTACTCGTTCCTGAAATCTGTTTTATGACAGAGCTTTGCCTTGTTTGATACTTTAAGGTGGCAAAGCTACCAGCCGTCAAAGCATCAGAGTTCTTGAGAAGAATAAGATTTTACCTGAGATTGGAGAATGAGACACTTAGTAGCTGACTGCATGAACAGCCACCCCCAAGGGCCTCCACAGTTGTTGAAGTCAGAGGCTCCAAAGACACCTGCCTTTTGCTGATAGTGAGACCCGTGGATTGGGACTTCTTAGGAAGGCTTTCCTACCATTGACCCGAGCAACGTGGAGAAAGTTGATTCCAGTGTCCTCTTGTCCAGTGAAGGGTCCTTTGAAGCAGTTGAGGTGAAGGGCAGGGTTGCTCAGTGGCCAGCATTGCCACTTTTGTGGGTGGAGTTTTTTGACTGTCCACCAGTCTTCTTGGAGGAAATGGGATGGTGCCAGTAGCTGGCCTGTCTCTGTTATAAAAAGCTTTTTAATAAAACATTTAAATGCCATGTCCTCTAGATCTCTGAGCATTTGAGGACTGTTTGTCTGTTTAGTATACTTTAGTAGACAGAATTTATCTTTAGTGACTTGCCTTAAGCGTATAGATGGCTAGAGAATAGAATAGAAGCTTTACCTTTGTAACCAGCTTACAGGAAGGACTGGGTGTTATACTTTGTTAATTTGAAATAGACCCTTATAACTTTAAATGTTTATCATCACTTAAAAGATATAACAATTTAGAAATTGCTATTAGTAGAGTTGAATTAAAGTTACCGTACTTTTTACACATACATATAGATACATTAAACAGGATTGGGTAAAAGTGTTGGACCCACACTTGTAGGAAGCAGACAGATTTAAAGAGACAGTGATGAGAAGGAAGATTTGTTGTAGATAGAACAGGGGATCCTGGAAAGTCACAGTATTCCATAAACAAGCCATGGAAAACCGAGTCAGTGAAAGAAGAAATTAGAGGTAAAATTAAAAGCGCAAAAGAGACAAAAAGTAAATGAATTGTATCTGTCAGCAGGCTTGGCTGGCAGAAGCTGGCTGGACTGAGTGGTCGTGCCTACAGCTAGGTCACTCGGTAAACATGGCGGACCCAGTAAACAGGTTTTCAAGCTAGGCCGCATGGTTAAGATCGCCAAGATGGCGGCCTCCATAGGCACATTTCCATCTGCCAGCAGAAGTGGCCTTTTTCCTCCACGAGTGAGGCAGAAATATGTGTGACCACCGTAGGTCTAAGAAATGAATGAACGGCCAGTGCCAGGGTATAAAACCCGAGAGACCCCTCGTGGGTCCGAGCAGTAAAAAATCTGAAAACCTCAAACCTCATTTGTGGGGAAAAAATGGAAAACTCTCAGAGTGTCCTGAGCAGATGCTAAACCGGGATGAACAGGAGAGAGGCAAAACAGGACACTCCCAGGTGGAAGGCGGTTCCTGCCCCGAGGCAGGTTTAGGCAGATGGGAAGTGGCGGGAAGCCTCTGTGACCTGCGGGAGTTTTTTTAGGTAGCTTTTAAAGCTAGGAGAATGAGATTTAGAGGAAGAAAGAATGTTGAAGAGAATGTTTAGGAGAGAGGTAGAGAAAAGCTTGAACATAGGGTAACTCCTTCCATTGACCAGATCGCTGGCAGTGACTAAAGAGGTCCTGTAAAATATACTGAGATAAGTGAGTCTGGATGACTTAAGGCATAGAGGAATTTACTTTGTCAGTTTGTTACCCATGAGGCCGGCCTAAAGGAAAGAAAATGGCCAGATAACTCTTCAGAACTCATCAGCCCGAGAGTCTAGCAAGGGCAGAGAAGACCACCCGAAAAAAGGAACCAGAGTCTGAAAGGCGAAAAGCCACCAAAGGCTCAGAAAGGAGCCGAAAAAAAATTACCAATAGGCTGTGCCCGAGGAAAACAAACCAAAAATGATTGTCAGACCATGGGGGTCAACCATGACCTTGAAGGCTGTGGTTGTGGGAGTTCCTCACGTTTCCAAAAACACTATTAGGGTGCCGGACGTCGTTAGGGTTTAGGGAAACGCTTACGCCTACTTAAAGGGGGTCCTTGCCAAATCGCAGCCGGTGTTGGATGTAAAATGTAGAGTTCCGGTCGATGGAAAGTGGGCCGTTGGTCCGATGTAGCAGGTTACCTGCTTGGTCACCTGCTGGGTCCGCAGGAGGCCGGAACCACAGGGAGAGCCTGTCCGGGAGGGTCAGGGAACCAATGTTGTTAAAATGTCTCCACTGTAGTCCTTGGGGAAAATATTAATATCTCAGTTCCTTCCTATTGTCTTCAGATGGTTTTGGTAGACAGTGTAATTTCTTTGTTATTTTTTACATTAAAAGCATTTTTAGGTCTGGAGAGATGATTCAGTGGTTAAGAACACTAGCTAGCTGGTCTTCCTGAGTTCAATTCCCAGCAACCACATGGTGGCTCACAACCATCTTTAATGAGATTTGGTGCCCTCTTCTGGCCTGCAGGCATAGATGCAAACAGAACACTGTATACATAATAAATAAATCTTTTAAAAAAAGTAGAAAATATTTGGTTGGAGAGATGGTTCTTTGTTTTGTTTTGTTTTTTCCAGACAGTGTTTCTCTGTAGCTTTGAAGCCTGTCCTGGAACTCACTCTGTAAGCCAGGCTGGCCTTGAGCTCACAGAGATCCGACTGCCTCTACCTCCTGAGTGCTGGGATTAAAGGTGTGCACCATCAAGGCCCAGCAATGGTTCACTGGTTAAGAGCACTGACTACTCTTCCAAAGGTTCTGAGTTCAATTCCCAGCAACCAAATAGTGGCTCACAACCATCTATAATGAGATCTGATGCCCTCTTCTGACCTGTAGGCAAGCATACAGACAGAGCACTGTATACATAATAAATTGAAAACATTTTAATGTATGCATTTAAGTACGTATGTCTGTCTGTGTGAGTGTATGCTGTCTGTGTAAATGTTTGCTGCCTGGGGTAGTACCTGCTGAGGTCTGAACAGGGTGTGGATCTCCTGGAACTGGTGTTAAAGTAGCTC